TGAGCCATATCTAACAACGTCTCAAGCCACTGAGTTGCGCGATCTCTCAGACCCTACCTGGGAGTCGTGATGCACCAACAGATGCTAACCAGTTACAGCTATCCTTCATCCCATGATGCCGGGTCATACACTGACTACGCCTCCACTTCCTTCATCCAATACCAGGAGTAGCAAACAATTAAAGGCCGTCGGGATGACACGCGTCATACGTGTCCAAGCTACCGAAATCGGTGTTTGCGAATGATTTCACTTACTGAAAGGCGACTACCATCATGCTGAAACACACGCTGTCGTACTTCAGGATTACTCGCATGGTGTTGCGACTGGATACGAGCAATCCTGAAGAGACAACTATGATCGAACGCACGGAGTCATCGCATATCCTCAGCTCGGAGAGGCCAGGTTTCACAGGCGTAGAGCAGAAGTGCTCACACTGAAGCGTTGTAAGTCCAACCTTTTACGGTCAGGCCAATAACGCGACGGGGAAAAAAGGTGGCCCAAATTGACGTGTGTCACTCTGGTTTTCGATTTGCCTTTGGAAATTTCATCAATCACACAACCACCCATATGCGTGAACTTTTAGACTACTTCCAAGGGCTCATCACCAACGGTAAGCGCAGGCACAGGCTTCTGTCAATCTTGCAAAAGTACTTTGGATTTCACTCGTGCAAAGCATATACCATACTTATGGACACTAGTGTGAGAATAATTTACAGTCATTCGGAGCATCAGTTCTTCCATCGCAACCAGTTCATCCCAAAGATCACGACAACTAAGTGGTTTATGTTGAAGCAAAATCACTAATTTACATTGGATTGTTTTTTGAAGCTCTACGTTTATGGGGAATTGACTTATAATAGCCTAGCTTTGTTGTTAGAAAAGTTGGAAAAAATTTGACAACCGACTGGATAATAACAAGCTTACTACTGGGCATGATGACTCTATTCTTGACTGGGTATAGATTCATGAGCCTACACCACTGAAGAGCCCCAAAATAGGACAAAACAACCGTTAACTGTTATTGGTCTTTCGATGGTTTACTAGTTGATGAAGATCCGTAATCAATATTATCTTAAAATCAATAGATTTCTTACGCAATCTTCAAACTCTAAGGTTAAAAATGTTGCTCAAATACCTTTATCAATATTTTTCTTGAGTAAAGTAATCTTAGATAAAATGAAAAAAAGCATATATAAGCGAATGTGCACAAGAACGTCTAGCAAGACCCTTAATTCAAGCATCAGCCGGATAAATGTCCATGTGTGAAAGATAGATAGGTTCATATAAAACTAATACCTTTGTGAATGTTAGATTACAACTATGTAACATCAGTTTAAGTATTTATAATGAGTACACTGTGCAGTCTTCTGGTTAGTAATTTGGACTATGAAATAAAATCTACATTGAACTGATTTTCTAGTCGTTATTTAAGAAAATAATAGTTGAAATAAATACTTCTAGACAAATTGTTCAAAAGTCAAAACAGTAGCGTTCAATATCTTATCACTGCATTTGTAGTCATATTTATTTGTGTTGACCGATACTACTACTACAAGTTAGTAATGCTAATCATGAAGTAACCAGTTCCACGAAACTCTAACCACTTCAAGATGAAGTGTCCCAAATAGGATTATTTGTGTAATTAAGTCTCCGTGATGACTCAATCAGTTTTGTAGTACCATCATAAGCATGATATGAAACATATCATCCTTTTTAAGAATGATATCATAGATAGACAGACAGACAGGCAGACACAGATAAAGCCAACGTAGAGCCTTGGACAGGTGTGGATCGGTTTAAGCTACCACACTTCACAGTAGCATGCAAAGAACAAGTAGACAGAAAGAGACTGATGTTGAAGTAAACAAAGGTGTATCGGGTGAGAAGGGATTTGAAAACCATTTAAATTCACGTATAAATCCTGAGGGATTAAAATGGTAACCTGTAAGTGTTCTTCAGGGAATTAATAGCGTTTGGAGCAAACCAGAGAATTACAACTAAAAATGTTCATAATTAGGTCTATTTAAGAGGTTTCAGAGTTTTCAGATTAAAAAAGAAAGTCGGTGAAGGTAGCCCATACTTTGAAGTTTCAGAATAAAGGCACACAATTATTGAATATCTTCTTTCGTTAATCACTTCTGTGTCTTAATTTATGTCTTGAAGAAGGGTTCCAATTTAGTCTTCTTTGGTATCAAAATTCAGGATAATAATTGAATATCTCTGCTAAGAACTGCCTTACTAAGGTTGTTGGAGATATTAGGCTTTATCAGCTATACGGTAATGAGAAGTGATGATCTCTACTAACACACTGGGTAGAATGTATTTAATACGGGACATTTGAATGAAAAAATCTTTTGCCTTTAGGTCAGAACGTTGGTATAAGGTATAAGGTAAGTAAAGTGGTGTCTTGTCCGTCAAGACGTTTAATGTAACTGTAGAGATGACTGATATAACTTCATGATAAACGATTTTTGCCGTAAGATGTGTTACATCAGTCGACAGAAAGTTGTCTATCACAAAGATATGGCTTTGTTGGTGGTCATCCATAGACTATCGGTTAAGTAAGTTCAGTGAAGTTAATTGTATAGGACATCTCACGAGATTTCTATTTATACATTCCACATCAGTGTGTTTCAAGACACTGTTAACAGGAAAAGGCATTGAAACTGGTGTGATTCGGTCAACATATTTCACATTTTTGTCAGAAGGACAACACTAAGCACAGAAACCCACTATAGTAAATGCGCACAATTTCCTAAGCAGTAATACTGAGTTTTGTTGACGCGTAGATAAACACGCAGAAATGTGATTTCTGATCTAGTTTTGAATACTAGTTTTATATTATTCAGGTTCTCACTCATATTGAACAAATGTTTTTAGATTGATATGGAGGAGTATTCATGAGAAGATAGTTTTTGCAGACTTATAAATTTGTTAAAATGCTCAACCAGAATCGGTATAATCGCTAAGTACATAGAAATAATACTGATTAACCCAAGAACATTCATATTATCAAGTTATAGTGGACGTGAACTGATAACAGACGGGTTATAGGATGAAATCTTACTATAATCTGGATTCCCTTGGCAAGTCATTTGTTCTTTCTTTCATAGGTACTCAGTTCACCAACCAACATTAGAGACTGTATATATGTAAATGGTGATAATCCTCTTAGAACTACATGCATTTGATGATCACTGATAGTTGACATTGGAAAGTTTTATGCATCATGGAAGTTTGTAAACCATCTACTTGTTTGCTTTATACCATTCACACTTCTGCGGTATAAATTTTACTTTCCATCAATAAAGCTGTTACGTGAACTACATGTGAACTCGATGTCCCTTAGTACTACTTATGAGATACAAATGAAATAATTTCTAAATGGTTAGAAGTAATAGGAAAAATTAGCGTTGATGAAATGTACCCATTTATTCATTAACAAGAACAAGGCATGTACAAGCGAAGAAATATTTCTTTTCAACGATTTCATTATCAAGCTGTACAGTCGTACTTATACTTGGTAAAGTGACAGATTATTGCACTAAAAGTTGGTCAGTCAATATGCAAAATATACAATCGGTGTAGGTGGTAGTATTTGTTCAAGTGGAGGAGATAGAAAATGTATCATTGAAAAAGGGACGAACTGATAACAATTAGCATTGAAAATTATTTTTATGTTCTATGGCGCTTACCACAGAGGGTAGATCAGTAGCTTCCACAAATACTATACTTCTTTCTCAAGTTAAAAAAATGTGTCGTTCAATGCATTATCCTAGTACATTAAGTCTGAAAGGTTCAACTTTTAGGAAAATTCACAATAGTTCAAAAAGTAGATTAACACCAGCTGTAGCGTTTTCCCTTTTCTATGGGTTATAGTTACTAATTCCTGCGACATTCACAGAAGTATCCATACTTGCATACGAATGTATGCATATATTCTTCTCCGTGAAAATACTTTCGACCATTATGGAAACAGAAAGTTTATGGAAAACGTTTTCGGTCTTTAACAGACTTCTTAGATCTGAATACTTCTTGAAAATCACGATCATCATCAAGAACAACATAGGACCAGGCATTACTGCCTAACTATCCAAGTTGCCACACCTCATGTCAGCACATCAAGTAACAAGGCAATAAAATGGAGGATGAAAAAGGAAAAATAACTCCAGGAAGGAAGAATAAGACGACAACGAGATTAAGTAGAGGATAGTGTATGTATGTATCTACGCCACTGAAATTGATTCCAAGCCATATCACGTAGTCTCCAATCACTGGTTTCTCTTGTCCCTTGGACCCCAGCCGACTAGTCTGTATCACCCTACATGGGTAAGACGAACAGTCAAGGACATAACACATGTCACAGCCATCTCAGTCGATGAAGGTTCATAACCGCATCGACTGACCTTTCCCTCCTCCCTAAACATCTACACCTAACTCTTGCGTTGCTTACGTGGTGTAACCACGTAAAACGCCCTATGCTATGAAGGCAGTGGTGATCAAACATCTGAAGCCTTCTCATGTCTTCTACCTTGAATGCCCGTGTTTTTCAGCTTTACAGTAGGACAGAGAGGAATGAAAATAATGCAGCCACATGAGAAACCCAACAAACTGTAGATAAGAGGTAATGAAAATTAAGAAAGAAAGACAAAGTCAACCTATCAGATCACAGAAAATCGTCGGCTATACCACCTTTTAACTCTCAGATTAAAAATGGTACAATTTAATGTCATGAAAAGGATTATTGGCGAAAAATACGTTTCTGTGTTAGAGCAGTCTTCACGGTAATCGCCTACTTTGATCTGGACCGCAGAGGTCAGGTATTATTTTGGGATAAAAAGATAAATCAACTGAAAGTCAGTTTCATGGTGTATATATATCAGCAGTTAGTAAATGAATACAACCCTGTTGTCGCTTACTTAAACACTTTAGGTTGACGAATATAATTAATTGCAGACAATGAAGCAAATGTAAAACGCACAATTCATACTAGAACTTACATATTTGCTGGATTTACTATCGAACAATTTACTGTGGATGCTGGAATATTATCACAGTCATAATTTTTGAAATGATTGTTTAACAATTTACAGCTTGTTTGTTCTTGGGATAAATTTAACACTGGATTTGTTGATTCACATAAATTAGTTATATTATCTACAGACATGGTATTCGAGTCGATACCATTAGTATTTGTTGATGAAGGAGAGGATAGACCAAGTAGTGCTAATTGAGCTAAGGCATGCTGAAAAGCTGCAACAGCATTAGGTGATGCTGTTGAAAGTGCAGAAGACCATGAAGCCAATCTTTCATAAGGATTTGAAATATTATCTTGATGCATACTTGATACATCTTCAATTCGATTTATAGAAGTTTTGAATTGTCGACAAGAGGATGAATTACTACTGTTGTGAAATTTATCATGACAGTTATTATTTGATGATAAATGAATATGATTCATGAAATTATTATTATTATTGTTATTATTCAAAGGGTTCAATGATGAATTAGTCATATTCAATAAATGGAGCGACAGATTTTGCAAACTTTCAGGCGATTGAAACTGAAGTTTCTGAGATATCTTATCATCAATATGTTGTCGTTGTTGTTGTTGTTGTTGTTGGTGGTGTACAGCTAGAGAGTTTAAAATTTCCACAGCAAGATTATATGAATTGGGCAGTGTTGTTGTTATTGTGTTAACTGGTAACATTGGTGTTGGTGTTGTAGTTGCTGACGATGAGGAACACGGGGAGGATGGGCTGTTTATATTTTGTTGTGACATAATATGATCATAAAAATCTGAAAAAAATGGAATTGTTAGGGGAAATGGAAATAATGTATTCATAGGAAGATTAATAATACTAGTAATTATTATCTATTTTTGAGGGAAAGGCGTTTTTGTACAGATGGTTAGGTAACTCCAAAAAACGATACGAAATATATTGATTCTTTTAGCTAACCAAAACAGAGACCTATTGTTTTGTATAGATAAGTGTTATATTTGTCTGTAAATAAGTATCCGAAAGGTGGTTAAGTAATCCACGAAAGATGAATACGGCTTCACTAATTTATTGCTTCTGCCACGGTTATTGCTGCAGGATAGCACGTCCCGGGTGCAGTAATGAATATTAATTAGGATATATGTTCTTAGGATAACATTCCTGTCCGTTTATCCTTTTATCGTCATCAATTTTGATTACTGCGTTTACTCTTCCACTCTCCTTTTCTATTTCATATCTTTTTATAATCATTTTATACATGCACACTATTTGTGTGTAGACAGGCACTAATAATGAAATAATAGTGTGTAGATAGGTAGACAGATAATAGTAGACAGATATTGAAAGTATAGAAATGCACCAATGTTTTCAACACATTCGAATTTCTGTCTGTCCGGAATCACACCCTGGACAAAGCATAATCAATTGTTATCTTCCTCAATCGATTTATCATTTGTATTTTTGATAAATCTACTAAATAAGCCTGTTCATTTAAAGATAAGTAACTCAACGTGAACATATTTACATTCATATTTTGAAATTTTCTTCATTCCCCCACCCCATCTTTATTTCCTTGTTTGGATAGAAAGAATGCTTGTTCATAATTCAGTTCTGGTCAAGTGTTAAGCCTTGGTTAATAATGTGTGGGTATGATTTTTTTTAAAAAAAAGGAAACATTAGACTCCCTTTATGCCCTGTGCATGTGAGACTAACGACCACCTAATTTTCTATCTTCAGCTAATCCCAGGCCAGCTGAAATTCTGCATGTCCCTGTTTTTCTAGTTTGCATATCTATAAGATTATAAAAAGTGTTCCCAAATCACGAGATGATTACATAAAGCGATGATGGATAATTTGAACACCTGTTTTGTTCAGCACACACATCACATACTGACTTACAGAAAGTGTATCATGCAGCAGATATGTCTATTCAGTCTTTATTTTGACTTATGAATAACAAAGACGCATGAAGCATATTGCACCTAATGGATATTTACAGTATCCCACCAACTAGCTAAGGTCACTTTCAATCTGGGTGTTTGTAAGGGTTTACTTATTGGTTTCAAATTACTATTCATCATTGACTGACATCAGTTAGAGAAACATTGGAAACTTGGGGGCCCTGGGGATCTGGCAAGACCATGGGCGAAGACTGCTGACGAGTCGCATTCTAGGACGAAACAACTGTCCAATGTTTCTCCAAGTGATGTCAGTCCTTAGCTATGGATACCCATAATATTAGGTATCTGTAGTAGAAGCTGTTTATTCTGTTGATTACTATGCACTGGATGAAAATCTTCTGACTCTGATGAGGGAAAACTGAATAAGAACAAATATATTGATCGTTTGCTGTATATACAGGATGCGTTAGATGTAATCCATATTAAAAAACCAACGAAAGTACTCTTGGATTGGCAGTAATTTTCGGTTCAATTGGTGGTTTTTGAAGACTGACTGGTTCAAAGTTGGCATTCATCATAGAGAACCACTGAAAAGCTCAGAGCACTGGGCACCTGCTTCACCCTAGAAATGGACACCAGCAGTCTACAGTCACGAGGGATCAACACTAAAACTGTCAGGTATGGTGATGGGCAGATTATCATTCCACCACTGGGTCGGGATGGAGTGGTCCACTTTTTTCATTTCACAATACAGCGCAGTTATCGTTCATTGCTTCGGTGAGTATTTCTCCTCAGAGTTGACCTGTTTGACCCCACAGGTCACGGCCTCTCATTAAAACCTTAGTTAATCTATCGAGAAGTAAGTGGCTAATGAGCGCTCTATGGAAATTGAATTGAGAGGTTTGTGGAGATAGGCTAGTTTCAAGGCAGCATTTGCTTTCTGAATGTCGGAGGAAATGATTTAATAGGAGACTTTCGCTGTAACAATGAAATTTATCCTAGGAAGTAATTGAGATACTCAAAAGTTCAACACATATCAGCTGAACGGATCATTTTTTTACTGACTATTATCAATCAAATCCCTAACACAGTGATTGCTACTGTGTATCTAACCTGAAACTTTTCTATGTCAAGGTTGCCTAGAAGTTGAAAATGACAAATCACTTTTTTCACAGACGAGGTCAACAAAAGAAGGTACAAACTGGCTTTTTGTTTACCACTCTATTCAATTTATGCTTTTGTATTGTTACAGTCAGCTGGTGTCCAGTATTTCTACACCAGGATCCGAAAGCATGAATAAAGAATTAGAAAGTTTTAAAATAAGTCATGCACTCCTAGAATTTACAACCTCTCGCGAAAAATTTCAAAGCGATTATTCTGTAAATCGGTAGTTAAGCAGATTGGGCATGGATTGGTCACACAAAGGTGAACAGTTTAGCTATTGAGTCCTTAGTACAGAAAGAAATCTATTGATCAAAGTATACGACTTAGTCTCTCACGTAAGTGATAGAAATCTACAGTTATACACAACATTTTGAATACAGTACCCATAATATCCACTCTGTAGAAATGATATAAACTAGTCCGATGAAGAAATGTACTCGCTATTGATGATTGAAATCTTGCTTTCATATATCAACATTGATGCATTATGTTTAAACTCTACTGTATTAGGTTATCGGAGCGTAAGTAACACTATACCGTTCATTCTTAGATAACATTGTCCAAATTTTTCCATTTAAGTCCATAATGTGATCACTGAACTAGAAGACTTAAAATAGTAGTGGAATTCATCTGATTTTAGGTGGTTGAAAGTATTTGGTAGGAGTTCATTCTTGCTGGTACTGTCAGAAAGGTATATTTCAAAGGAATTGTTGTTCCACCACAGGTTGGATCCATCACCACCTGTAACTCGTCCAGAAATACCACCAGCAGCAACAGAACTACCAGTTAACACAAACACTCCGAAAAAAGCAAAAGTGAATTCCTAAACCCAATAAAGTCACTGAAATCCGGGAAAGCAGCAGGACAAGATGGAATTCCTCTAGAAGCACTGAAAACAGACGCAGAGATAACAACAGCGGACATGCTCACACCACTGTCGCAGAAGGTTTGCAAGGAGGGAAGGAAGGATGGAAAAGTACCTGCCCAATAATTAGAAGAAAGGCTACCTTGTCAGATTCATAAAGCAGGGCAACCTTAGCTAAGTCTTTGCAAGAACTGGCGCAGAATCATGCTCCTGTCCACCCCAAGCAAAATAGTATGCCGCATCATCCTGGAGAGACTGAAAGATGAGCCGGACTAAAAATTACGACCGCAACAGGCTGGCTGACTTCAGGAAGAACAAATCATGTGCGGGTCAAATTGCAACGCTATGCTGCGCATCATCGTAGAACAGAGTACAGAACGGCAGTCAACTCTCTACCTCAACTTCATAGAATTTGAAAAGGCCTTCGACAGCGTAGACCGAGAAGTAATTTGGTAGCCACTGCCTCGAAACTACAGAATACCACAAACCTTTATCAATCCTATTAAACAGCTATATGAAGGCACCACATGCCAAGTGATTCACAATGGAAAGCTCAGCGACACCTTTGAAGTGAAGACAGGGGACAGGAGTAAGACGAGGCTGCCTACTGTCACTGATCATCTTCCTAATTGTGGTCGACTGCACTGAATCATGCGGCAAACCGTGAGGGGTGAGAAGAGAGGCGTACGCTGGACCGATGAAAAGACCCCAGAAGATTTGGATTTCGCTAATGGTGATTTACGTCTGATGTCGCACAAACCCGAAAATCTACAGGCAAAACCAACAAGTTGACAGAAGAGGCAGAGCAGTGCAGCGAAGATGGAACTTCAAGTGAACTTACAGAAGATAGAGGTTATGAAGATACCCAACCAGCAACGAGAACAAGAAGCACCAATCACCATCAACGGGAGAAACTTCAAGGAACTTGTCTCCTTCATCTACCTAGGCAGCATCGTTTCAACTACAGGTGGCGGCACTGATGAAGACGTCATAGCCAGGATCGGAAAAGCAAGACAGGCCTTCATTAATCTGAAATCAGTGTGGAGATCTGCTGCACTCAGCATAAAGCGTGAACAAGATCCGGATTTTCAACACCAATGTCAAGTCAGTGCTTCTGTGTGACGGTTGAGAGACTCGGCGCGTCACGAGAAGCATTTCCAACAAACTACAGACATTCATCGACAGCTGCTCACGCTGGCTCGATACTGAAGATCAGATGGCCAGAATAATCAGAATAAGCAACAAGGAACTCCGACAACGAACCAACCAAGAAGCCATCACCCAACAGATATGCAGAAGAAAGTGGAGATGGATTGAGCACACACTGAGGAAACCGTTCGGGGACATCATGCACCAGGCCCTCAAGTGGAATCCAAAGGGGGAACGACGAGTTGGGGGTCCGGGGTGAGGGTGACGTGGAGGAGACCATGTGGGGAAGAAACGAAAGCTTGTGGGCAGTCGTGGATTCAGGTTGAAAAGACTGGGGAGAAGAGAATGAAATGGAGGCGTGCTACTGAAGCGCTGTGTTCAGCTAGGAAACTAAAGGACATGTAATTATACTAATGATAATAATAGGATGAAGCTAGCACCACCTTATGCTACAACTAGATTTACTAGAGTTTTTTTATTGTTGACATTATTCCACTTCAACATCATAGACAACCATAATGTAGCTTTCACTATTCTTCTGTAATAAATACTGATTTATGCAATCTTTTCCTATTCACGACCATATTCGTTTAGGTGGTATTCTTTATAAGTTAGTTGAATCACCTACATGAATATGTTTGTATTCTTTCTAATAGTTTGACTGACTATTCGGGATAACGTTAGTCGACAGATTCTCGCATTCATCTGGATGACTACTGAATTTAAAAGTCAATACAACTGAGAATTTGATTTCAAATAGTGACTTGCATGTGAATTACACTGTTCTCAACTATACAATCAACTGAATTCGGCATCCCAGCTTAATTTTACACATTAGGCACACACTGAAAGACTTGTCATAAATCCACCGGTAGATTATATCCTTACTTGTTCTAAGTTTCCTTTCACAATCATACTTGTATACTAAATATTAAATTTTCAATCAGTAGGAATGAAAATAGAAAATAATGTTACTGCTAGCGATGAAGAACTGGTCTTTAAATAAGCATTTTTCAAAGTCAGGATCAAATAAATTACTGCAGATGTGCATTGGCTTGAAGTGTCAACCTGTTTTACCAGTAGAATAACCCTAAGTTCTCAAAAAAATAAGTGGTAGATTTTAAGAAACGTAGATGAAGTAAATACTGATGAAGTCTCCTGGCGTGATTATGAAATGTCAAAGAACAAATCCCAA